AAAAAAAAAAAAAAAACCCAAACAAAAAAACACCCACAAAAAAATAAAAAAACCAACCACCCTAATCTTGCTTTCCCACATTAGTATTTTGAAAATTTAAAACTACAACTACATTCATATCTTAGCCCATAACAAAAAAACAGTGGGAACGTTCACCATGTGGAGAGTCCATGACTATGAACAATGTTTCTAGACCAACTTTTGATCGATTTGCTAACAAGCTTTCATTCCCAAAGCATTTTTCACATACTGTAGATTAACAACGCTACTCAGTGCAAACAGTCATACCTACTACTCTACTAGTAACAAAATGAAAATGAACAGCAAGACCTGCTTGCGGATCTGCACTGTCCAGTTTCTTTGCAATGCACTGATTTCCAGTCACAAGAACATATTTATAGCTTTATTTTTTTAAGTATGCTGCTTTCAGCAGTTATCTAGCTTGCTACTAGATCATACTACTTTCTCAAAGTGATTTTCTTCTCAAGTTATACACACTGACCCAACAGCTGACTTAAAAGCTGATCCGGGAAAACCAACAGCTCTACCTCTCCCTTCAATTAAACAGTCAACACTAGAGTTCGTAAGGGTTATCATCATTGTAAACTATTAAGGTTATGATACCTGTAATTAATTACTAAAGGATCATAAAGTAAACCAGTAGAAATTTTAGCCTAGTCATAGATTCTATTATTGCTAAATGGAAGATTTATACAAACCAGTGTTTTATAGAACCAGCAATTCTCAAGTCACTCAAAAAAAAAAAGTGCCACTTCTTTAGTAGCTGAACTCTGCTGCAAATCAACTAGCTAGAAACATTTATCTGGGTCTTAAGAAATGGAAATGACAAAAGATCTGATTCAGGTGAAAGTCTCCTACTGGCTAAATGCTCTTACAGTGGGCCCTGGGCCCAAACATGCCTCATGATAAAGCAGGATTCTAATCCAATACATTACTGCACCAATGATTTTAATATCAATCGTGAATGTTGAAGTACTTACTATTCAGTTGTTGCCACAACAGTTCCTCTTCCTCCACCTCCACTCCCACATTCCTCCTCCACCCCCCAAAAAAACATTAGCACAAAGCCAAAAGAATATAAATATTTGAGGGGGAAACACAACGCTCAAGTTGCAAGAAATTAAAGACTTGAGAAGCATACGCCTTTCTTTTCATGGCATGCATGAAAAGGAGTCATACACCAAGAACTGGACCAACAAAGACAGTAGTTCAGTGGAAAATAACTCTTGTATGCTGTTAGACAATTCAGGCTAGCATTGTGCGTACCATATACATCTGAAAACAAAAACTCTGCTTTTCTTCAGACAACTTAAAACATTAAATATTTCAAATGGATCTCTTTCAACTCCAAGTTGTATTTACATACTTATCCACAAAAATGTGCAAAGTAAAATCTGACATCAAAATAATTTTAAAAGTCCAACAAATTGAACTTGACATTAAAAAAGGCAGCAGAGATTCCATGTCCATTCTATACACACTTTAAAGAACTACTTAAGACAGTGAAAAGGTTGTTCCAGCTGAACCTCTGGAAATGTAACGAATCCAAACCATGCCGCACTTCAATCACTAGCTGTCTTTGCCGCAGAATTCACAATGTATCCCACCAGTGAGGTCTTTGACAACTTTTTCTTTGATCAGTTTTTGCAGGAATTTTTTTTCGCTTGTCACATTGTGCATAGTTTGTCTGTTCATGGCAGCCATGCAGAGGTTGTTGTAATAGTGCAAAGGTGTGCTGGGCTGATCGAGGTCATATCCAAATCCTGCTAAGCTCACTTCATCACATAAATGTGTGGCCAGAACAACTGCTGTGACCCCAATTGTAGGTACATTCTAAAAAGGAGGGAAAAAGAAGCCTTTGCCAGTTTTATAAACACTTTACAAAATTTAATGGCTTTGTCTATTCCCTCTCCTCACTTAAAACTGAAATCAATTAAACAATCAATTAAAACTAAAATCAATTACAACTAAAACTAAAAATAAATTAAACAATCAAGTCAAACTAAAAACTTCAGGGCCAAATACTAATACAACTTGAGTATTTGCCTGTAACAAGATTTTTGGCTGTCAACTCTAAGTTTTTTTTCTGTGAAGGCAAGATACCCTATTACTATGTAGTTAAACTACAAGTGAACCCTCGCTCCAAACACTCAAACAACTCCTGACAGAGTTAAACTTGACATTTCTTGATGTACGCTTACTTCAGTCTTGAGCAACAGGCTAACAGTATTCTTCATAATATGACTTTTCACTGAATAATCCATGAAGAAGGCAAGTATACTACGATACAACTAAAACATTACATAGCTTGGTATGGTACATTATTTTTATGAATAAATGTGAGAAGATCCTTCAAACATTTGTGCAATAACGCTACCATTAAATGCTTTCACACAAAAGGTAAAAAGATGATGGTTATTCAGTATTTTTCATAGTTCAAGAGAACTAGTGACATCCAATTTCTCAAACAAATAATTAAAATAACAAAAACGCAGTGTATAATTAAACTGGGCAATTCACCATTCCATACTATTGCTGGACCAAAGGACATAGAGGGAGGATATACCCATCAGCCGCTATTGAGCACATTGGCACACGTAGCAGTCCAGCAATTCCAACAGTTGGAGGGCTGCTTTACACTGGCCTGGTTTCCATACTCTCTCTGCTTTCCCTGCAGCTAGAGACACATCTGCCTATAGCTGATTGCTGGTTTGACTTAACAGGGCTGCTCTTAACACACTTAACATACATCAAATGCGTGTTTTGAATATGTAACACCAGTCACAATGATGTGTGAGTGAACACACTGTACTTGAATGAATTTATGTGTCTCTGCATCTGAATGCTTTGTAAAACAGGCAATTTCATGTCAGCATAATACCTCATCTAAAAAGGTGAGCTGAAATCCTACTTCGATTTTACACAAGAAAATACAGAAGTCTTTTGAGAGCGCATTAATTTCCCTACTACTTGAGACCAGCTCTGAAATTGCACAGAGGAACTATATTGAAGGAAGAGCCCAAAACTTTTTCCAGTTTCTTATTTTACTTTGTATTTTATAGTCTCGTTCTCCTAAAAGGAAACTTCTTACCTTATCCCAACCCCAGAATTTTGATCGAGGTTCAGGGAACTGTAAAATATCCAAAGCTGTCTCTTTGATGATGACTGGATTCAGAATCCGAAACTGCTTTGATGTAGAAGGAATTTTCTCTAAAAGGAATTCTTACCTTATCCCAACCCCAGAATTTTGATCGAGGTTCAGGGAACTGTAAAATATCCAAAGCTGTCTCTTTGATGATGACTGGATTCAGAATCCGAAACTGCTTTGATGTAGAAGGAATTTTCTCAGCAACTTCCTTCCAAAAGAAGAGTCGCACCCACAGAGGCTAAGAGAAAGAAAAAAAATAGTTCAGCAAAGGCAAACTCTGAGACTGCAAAGTGTATGGCAGACAGTACACAAGTTATAGAATTCATCAGTGATTCTGAAAAATTCAGGAAACAGTTTATAGCTAAGGTGGGTTCAGGAATACCAGCATACAGCTCAAGTGACTGACCCAAAAGAGAAAAAACCTTCTAAGTATGTGGAATTGCAGAGACGATAGCAAGGAGAAGAGTTGTTTATTCTGAATATTTGACTGCACTTTGTGTTTAATCAGTCAACACATTCACCAGAATCCACAAGGTTAACAGGTTGTTACTGTCAGCACAGGGCTTCAACACAAATGCTGGTACCAACTGTAACCAGGAGACATAGCTAAAAACCCCACAAAGTTAAATAAGAGATTCTCAGTATAATAAAACAGGAAGTAGCAGCCAGCTTCTTAAGCATTAGAAAAGAACAAACAAACAAAAATCACAGGTACATAACACTGCCACATTACATACCAAGGTTTCGTTTTTTACCATTGCTTGAAGCCAATTGAAATCAACACTTTTAAACAAAACAGCCACAAACAAGCTAGCAGGAGGATACTCGTTTTCAGAAAGAGGGGCTCCTTCGGGGTAAGTCATCCGTATAGTAGTTTTGTTACCGACATGATCTGTGTATCCTTGAACCGGTGCATCATTCAACCTAACAAAAAAAAAAACACAAAGGAGAGAAACTGTATTTTAACAGAGTGGAGTGCAGTACCTCCATGTTCCTCGCCTCACAAACCATCGATCCCTTATCTTTGAGAGGAAGCCAATTCTATTTCTGGATTAACTGGCACAAGTGCAAAACTTCAAAAAGAAAAGCTGGAATAGAAAAGTAACTTAAAACAGCATTGCAGAATTTCATGTTCATTGCCTTGTGCCAATTTGGAGAGGCTTAAAACAGGAAGGGAAAGAAAACACACAGGAAGTTGCCTACGTTATCTTTATATGTATACACACACACATATATATACACACACACACACACTTATTATACACAGAAAGGCATTCAAATTATCCCTTCAATGCAATCAAATGCATCCTGTGGGTTTACATCATTTCAGCTCACCAAAAATTTCAGATGCTAGCACGCTGCCAACAAGAACAGCATCATCCAGCTCCATCAGTTCTGCAGAACAGTATAAGTCCTGCAAACTTTTCTGTATCAAGAGAATAGTCACCTTCATGCTGCCAGCCCTAATTTCAGAGAACTGTTAATGTAAGCTCTCTGCTCCTCCACATGCTAACAGGTTTGTTTACCTTTGTGTAAGAGATATTGACTCACTGTATCAGCTCTTCCCTTTTTAAGAGGAGCAAGTCTTAGTTTACAAAGCAACTTGGGAAAATGCTTGTATTAAACTTATTTGTGACTTTACATGATTCAAAATACAAAGAAGGAGAGTTCAAACAGTAATGTTCAGAAGGCACAAATACAGAGCATGTATTCATTTAATTCAGACATTAGAAAACATGGGTAATCATGGAAAACATGCACTGATCTTGTAAAGGTAAGGGAAGATGAGCATGTTATACAGTGTGTAAGCAAACTGTATACTGAAACACCAATTAATTTTTATTGTGTTTGAAATAGCTGTTATAAAAAAATCCTTCAAATAAGCATGCCAACTAACCACGGGGAAAAAGGCAGAAGTAAGTCCTAAAGCCTACCTCTGAAAGCTTAAACATATGAATGGATAAAACCAGGATTGTCTACTTGTCTATGATTTCACTGGTTTCTACCTCATTTCTGCCCATGTTTTTTTGTATCTGAAGTCCACAAATAGTTACACTGAATTCCTGTCTTGTGAACATGACAATTTATTTTGCTCTTAAGACTTCAAGTTCCATCAAGTCACAAGTAAATTTCTCAAAAGCACTTTCAGAAATAGTCTTTGAAGTTGCATAAATGTTGGAGATACTTTCCCCTTAAAAAACAAAGTTGGCTCATTAAGTAAACTTGAAGTAGTTGGAATCCTTAAATGGAAAATACGTACCTTATAACAATATCAAACTGATTCAATAAGTGACCCAGCTCTGAACCATGAAGAATTCCACCACTGCCAACAACAACACAACGCTTACAGTGTTTTGACTTCAAATCTTCTGGCAAATCATGCTCAGGTAAGAGTTCAAGGAGATTTTTAAGCTTATCAAAGAACTTGTGAAATCCAAAAGGAGGTTCATATTTAAATAAAGCTTCATCTTCATTTATATTTTTTCTTACAAAAAGAGAAATGTCCATGCTGTATTTCTCCGCAAATAACTTCCCCATTTCTTTCTTCACATAAGAAGGCCGGCACTGTTCCTGCAATGCAGCGCTGGCATACTGTTGTGCTCTCTAAAACAAAATATACATGATTTCAGTCAGGAAAGCTAGCTTCAGGAACATACAAAGCCCTCTTAATGCAACCCACCAGCTGACCACTGGCAGTTTAGCAAACACAGGGGTTTATAAAGAGAGCTTAAACATGGAAATACAAGATGTTTTAAAGCATTCACTCAAACGCAGATACTAACCAGTGCAGGGTGAAAACCTGCAAAGGAATGTCTCTCCATCCAATCACTGAAATCTGGATAGGAGCTTTTCTAAAGAATAAATTAGGTTACTAAAAGAGATAAGCGAAAATGAGCCGTTTGAGAACATTTGTACTGTTACTTACAAAAACAGATTAAAAGATCTAGACATACTTCTACCCATCTGATTCAGCAGCAAGCCAGCAAGTGGAATTCTACTCCGCTGTTCAATTGCATGACCTGAGTTCTGTCTGCATTAGGATTTTACCAGACACACATCCACTGGGTAAAAGTTCTGTGAAATGGCAGGCTGGACTTGCTTACCAATCAAAATGAAGCAACAATTCTTCCAGAAGTATTGCTAAAGTGCTATTGCTAATGACTAAAACACAACTTCAAAAGGAATGCAAGGTGGAGGTGTTTCAGGTCTTCTTTCAAAGACTAGTCACCAAACTAAAAGACTACAGTTCCATATTGCATAAAAAGATTAAGCTGTCAGATAAAAGTACATATTGATCCATCTCATTAAATAAAATAAACAACTAAAACAAAAAAATATTCATGTACATTGTTTAGAAATCTGTAGCGGCAAGCTGGTTTCTGATATAAGGAAGAAGAGAAATAGCAAAGGTGTTATTTTTATCAGTTAAAATGACATCTTTTTGCATGTTCTCTTCCGCAACACAACTCTACTGATCTTTCCTCCACTGTCATAATAAAAAACATGAGCAAACACAGGGGTCAGAGAGTGAAGATTCAAATCTGGTGCTAACTCAGTTCCCCTTCTGTACTGTTAAGGAAAGGGAAGTGTGTATCTGGGTGCACAAGGGGGAAGTTGTGCTGGGTTTATTTTATTTTTAAACACAACTGCTCTACAGAACTGCCTCTGCCCCCATTACAAAGGTCTCTGCAAGTCTGGGCATAAACATCACACTTTTTCCTGGGCAAAGCACGACTGAGCAACTTCATGCAAGAGTCAGTGCATCTTTGGAAGAGCCTCCTTTTAAGGCTGACAGTGGTGCATCCTACCAGTAAAAACTAATGCAAATCACTTGACAACTGCTCCAAACAGTTTGCAATCAGCTACCACCTAACTAGACAAAGAGCAGTAATGCTATTTCCTCATCCTGCATCTAACACAAAATGAATCATGAGACAGCAATAAACACAGTTCATGCAGTCTTTAGGTTTGCTTGGCTTAAGGTGGTGGCTGTTTGGAAGCAAGAATATGTTATTGAGAAAAGAAATAAGTCAAATGAGAAGAAAAGGGGAAGCAAAGAGGCTCAGAAGGGAAAAAACGTGCACTGAAGAAGGTGAGAGGCAGGGGAGAATGAACATGCAGTGATGCTAAGATGAAACTATCTTAAATCAGGGCTTCTGCCATAAGCTTGTCTTAGTGTTGAGACATTCAAAGACAGAAACATAACAACATGAGCCGGCAGTGTGCCCAGGCGGCCAAGAAGACCAATGGCATCCTGGCCTGTATCAGAAAGAGTGTGGCCAGCAGGAGTAGGGAAGTGATCATGCCCCTGTACTCGGCCCTGGTGAGGCCGCACCTCGAATACCGTGTTCAGTTTTGGGCCCCTCACTACAAGAAGGACGTTGAGGTGCTGGAGCGTGTCCAGAGAAGGGCAACGAAGCTGGTGAAGGGTCTGGAGAACAAGTCTTCTGAGGAGCGGCTGAGGGAACTGGGGTTGTTTAGCCTGGAGAAAAGGAGGCTGAGGGGAGACCTCATCGCTCTCTACAACTACCTGAGAGGAGGTTGTAGTGAGGTGGGGGTCGGTCTCTTCTCCCAAGTAACAAGCGATAGGACGAGGGGAAATGGCCTCAAGTTGCACCAGGGGAGGTTTAGATTGGACATGAGGAAAAATTTCTTTACTGAAAGAGTGGTGAAACATTGGAACAGGCTGCCCAGGGAAGTGGTTGAGTCCCCATCTCTGGAGGTATTTAAAAGACGAGTAGATGAGGCGCTTAGGGACATGGTTTAGTGGGCATGGTGGTGTTGGGATGACGGTTGGACTTGATGATCTTAGAGGTCTTTTCCAACCTTAATGATTCTATGATTCTAACTCTAAGCCAACGTTTGGGGCTTTCTTTTTTAAATATGTTACTTTTCACTTGCATCAATTTTCTGATCACCAGCATCATCTGCACTGACACAATAGTATGATGACATGTCCATTTCAAATGTTATTCTTAACAGTCAGTTATCTCATTTTACCCCTAAAAATCCAGTTTCTCTATGCACTTCTGTTGTCACTCCACAAGAACAAAACCCAGAAGTTCTATGGCATGAAATGAAGCAAAATGTATTTTCCCCTCACAGGATAATTTCAGCATTCTAGTTCTTTACTACAGACCCTTATAACTCTCATATTGTCAATTAATACCTTTTTTTAAAGCCAAGTAAAAAAAAACACCAAAAAATACCAACCCTTACACGATCGAGGTCCACATACGGCATTTTTGTTCTGTCACATTCTTCAGGGCCAAAACGTAATTTGAGGATATAAAGGAAGCACCCTCCAACCACAAACAGTGCAAGAAGTCTAAAAACAAACAGGAGGGTGTAGGGGTAGGAGAGAGAAAAAAAACCTCATCTTTTTTTCCAGCAATCCATCAATTGTGAAATGAGTATTTTTAAACAAATTTAAGGCAGTTGAAGAACTTCAGGTGAATACTTGCATTTGATTCAAACCAAGAAAAACCTACCACTTTGTTCACTGCAAGTCTATCACAAATCTTCAGAGTTAACTGCAGGGAAGTACGAACATATATAGATGCTTTGATAAGGAAAATGTTGCATATTGACACTGATTTATGCAGTTCTATGCCTGCATCATACACTTTAAATGCATCTCTGATGGGTCAAACAGCTCTCCTCACACAAAGAAACCAAAAGTGACTTTTGTTTTCCTACTTTAAAGGTCAACTTTATTTTGAAATATGTATTTTCATGCAAGTTAAAAAAGGGATGGAACTTCAAATTGCAAGATTTTGGGCCAATGGCCATCACTCACAGGCAAAATTTTCAACTCACTGGCAGGCTAGAATGCAGAATTTAGATGCTCAGGTTTATCTTGAGAAGCCTAATTTAATTATTTACATCCCAAAAACACACAAAAGAAAAAAAACCTTTAAAACTGAGTAATATAGACTATCCATATTTTTTATCTACTCACTTCTCATTCCTAAGGAATCTCACTGTTGATCTCCAAACATTCAGTTGGCTCATTTCATGTCTAAACCGACTTGCAAAAATTACATCATTATTTGGTTAGAGTTGTGGTTGTTGCTCGTGTGTGTAGGTTGAGCTTTATTACTGAATTTCATTTCCTATGATTTCCTAAGACTCAACATTTGTTTAAATGTCTTTAAAAAAAAAAATATACAACCTACCAAGTGTTCAGTGCTTCTTGAAACTTTCAGATGAAGTTAATACAGGTTTCCATGAATTTTTTTAAAAAAAATATGGGCTAAAAGATGTAATCCTGGCACTTAATTTGCCATATGCACTGCAAATAAGGTGGCCACTGGAAAAGCAGCACTGTTCTCGCATCCTATTTAACTAAATTAAATTTTGCACTGATGGGGGGTCTAAAACCTTCGTTAGCATGTTAGGCTGCAACCCCTGGAAATCGGCTGACTGGCAGAAACAGGGGATTCACAGCAGATGAATGAGACTGGTTTTCCTCCACAGAGGTTTATCAAGTATCTCTAGATTCAGCTGGGGCTGCACCATTCAGGTGCTCAAAACACCAGCGGATATAACAGTTTGGCTTTGGGTTTTTTAAGCTTTAAGACCTAAAAATTCACGTGGCAGAGAGGCATCGCAGTAGTGAGCTTTTTTGCTTTAAAAGATGGTTCTGGATGTACGCTAGCACACACTCATTAATTCCAATTTGATGTTAAACTACAAACAACGGAGTAATGAAGATTTTGTGATGTAGCATTGCAGAAGTCTTCATAAACAAATTAACTATGAGGGGACACCTCCCCAAAATATGCACTAAACATCCACTGCCCTTCAATTTCTTCAATTATTAGACTGTACAAAAGCCTCAACATTGGTATTTATCTGGATACAAAAAGGATTGGAAATACTTGCGAGTGAAATACTGGGATCTCACATTGGCTTGGAAAAACAGGTACTACTAAGAGAGAGCCTAGGCCCTCAAAGTGGGGAGAAAGCTTTCCCTTGCCCCAGGGAAAGCTGTGTGCCTAACCCTCCGTTCAGTTCCTGTGGCAATCTCATCCCTTGATTTTTGCATCCTTTTTGTAACTGCCCAGGCTAGAAGGAGAGCAACTGACCTCTATATTGCTGTGACAATGACACTTACTTGCGAGTACCTTTTAAAAACCAGCTTGGTCTTCTCATCTTCATGTGCAGCCACCTTACACCATTGCACAGGAGGTGAACAATCACTTTTCGGCTTCACAGAGTTACTGTCACTCAGCATTGCTGTAAAAAAGAAAGAAAAAAATTATCATAACTTTTTCTGAATCGAAAAAAGTTCAGAGGACATCCAAAGACTGTTAACTTACTCTGTTTCCCAGAGAAGACTGTGATTCTTGGTTATCATGTCAGGAATACTGAATCACTCCTGACCTCCTTGTGATCAAGAATATACTCATTACAGACACAAGGCCAGGACATGATTCTAAAAATATGTACATGTTGCCAGGTATAGGTCTTTGCATCCTTCATAAGCTTGAAGTCTAATGATTGCAACTACATCAGTTACTGTGAAACACTATTGTTTGATCTTGGTCAAAACCATTTTGTTTGAGCAATTATTAAGACTCCAGACAGGAAAAAAATCTACACGGTATGCTCAGGGTATTTAGGATCCCTGAATCAAAGTGTCCAAGTACTACACTACCCTGATCCCATTCTCAAAACCAGAGCCCACATCTCAAATCAACTCCCTGATTTCCCTGAGGTTAAGCAAACCTGCTTCATCATCAGTCTGAATCTACTGCTGACCTCTTCAGAAGCTCCAACAACGTGGTCAGCAACGTCAACAGCAAACACCAAAGAGGGTGTGCAGGAAATTTTGCCTGGCACGCAGCAGGACCAGGAGGCTGCCAGCACAAGGGAAGTTTCTGTGCACAGCAGCAGGTCCCCTCCAACAAACATTGTGAACCCAGCAGGAGCACACAGTGCTGTCTGGATCTACTGCTGACCTCTTCAGAAGCTCCAACAACGTGGTCAGCAACGTCAACAGCAAACACCAAAGAGGGTGTGCAGGAAATTTTGCCTGGCACGCAGCAGGACCAGGAGGCTGCCAGCACAAGGGAAGTTTCTGTGCACAGCAGCAGGTCCCCTCCAACAAACATTGTGAACCCAGCAGGAGCACACAGTGCTCCCTTACAGATGGCCAAGTCACTGATCATTAGCTAATGAGAAGCAATCCCGCTGCTTACTGTTCGTAAGCTCCCACGAGTTTCTATCAGCATGCTTCAATTCTGATTTTGGAAAGAAAAATGCAGGCTGGCACATCAACTTCTCATAGGTTGCTGCCATTAACCAAAGATTAAAGCAAACAAGGAAATGCCATGCAAAGGCTACCCATACCAGCCTGCTGGTTTTGCCCTGAAAGGAGAAGTGATATGGGCAAGCGTTTTTCCTGCCTTACCAACCTCCTGAAGCAGCACTCCCTTTGATCAGCCAACCATGGAAGGGTGCAGCCTGATCCTCCACAATGGAGGTTTTCAGCCCTACTCATTCCCTTTGATGTCAGTGCTTAACCCTCTCTGCTCTCCACTGCAAAGTTGTTCACACTCTTCTGTTCTCTTGCCAAGAGCTCCGTCACAAGAACTTTTAAAACCAGCAGGGCTAAGGGAAGGCTTTTATCTAGGGATGATCTTCCACGTTCTCTTTTCTGCTCCACCTCCTTTTATTTTATATGGTGATATGACCCATTTGAACTAGCCTGTACTGTCAGGTACAATATACAGTCAGACTAGGTATCAGAGGATCCTGCTATCAGGAAATCATTGCAACAACGTACCAAGGGCCATCATGAGATCTGGCCATGGTACTGGCAACATTTATGAGGGAACACACTCCAGATTAAGCACATATTTTCCAGCAGTTTGAATCAAATCCTTAAAGTTTTACAGCTTGAATTAAAAGGGTAAAGTTAAAGCTTCACTGGCTTTGCTTTGTTCAAAGCAGGTTTTTATTTCTTTGCAAATTAGTCTTTCCTACTCTAGGACCCAGGTTCTGTTGTAATCTGACAGAAATGCTTGCTTGTGAAAGACTGCTCAATGTATATAAAACTTTTTCTTGCCTAATGGCACTAACATACTCATCATGCAGCACAGAATGACATGGCCAATCTCCTCTGCTGTATAAACCGTCAAAGAAGAGTGCTCTGTAAACAGCATGCTTTTAATCATTTCCAAGGGTGAGAATTTCCTACTACAGAATTGTATGCAGAGATCCTACAACAGATGCACTTTTCATGAAGCCTTTCAAAACAAAGAAAAAGGAAGGCTTCAAGAGATGTGAAAGATGGAGAAGGAACCGAAGAAGTGGAGAGTGAGACACACAGAAGGGGATTAACAACGAATGCAAGACTGCAATAAATGAATGCTATCAGAAAGTCTTCCCTGCCTCTGAGCAAAATAAATTCCAGTTGTCCCCAAACGGTTGCTTCACTCGTCCTGGATGTGCAAAGAGGAACAAGAAAACACAGAGAATTTAATTAATCACCTCAGCACATTCTTTCTGAGTCCAACTCAGTACTTATTATGCTCAATGGTTTTGTTTAATTTGTTTATATAACTGAAATAATGTCAGTTTTCATTTCATTTGCAACAGTTTACTTCAGGGTGACTTTTGTCAGTTCTGTTTACTCCAAATTATTCCTTTCTTGATCAAGTCAGTATATATAGACAGATAGATAGATAGATGTATCAAGTCAAAATACGTCTGTCCAGCACAGCATTTTTTTAAAATTACTCAGGGTTTGATCCTGCACTCTTATCTAAGTCAGTAAGCACCTTCCACTGGCTGGAATGGCGTAAGAGTGATCAAATGAGCAAGGCTGGCAGCAACAAGCACCTGAGAGTGCACCTTCCCCACAGTCTTCCCAAGCTTCAAAAAAATTCTGTGAGTTTACAGAGAGAACCATGGCAGTTAAGAAACCAAGCACCGAAGACAAGCTGTGCCTACAGCATCTGAATTTTATTGTTTGCGTACAAACACTGCTGCCAAACACCACTACACCCTTTCAGAAAGGGGCAGTGCTACAGTTGTTTTGGGAGCCATAAATGCAAAGGTCTCAATTTGCGTACAAAACATGTCTCAGTAGTAATGCTGTATTACAATCACATTTTGCATTGACATTTCCATAGCTACTCATTGTGGTGTAATTAGTGAGGACTCGAGGGACTTAAATTTGCTTTTCATCTACTGAACTTAAGTGATCTGTGTAAAGCTGCTGTGAAAGCTAAATTGTCCATCAGTAGGAATACACTCCAAAGCTTTTTGTGGTGTTATTCTTTTCACCATAATTTACTTTTGCCTCATTGTTATTCTTAAGCAGACAAAATTTCCACACTTGGAATATTTCAGAAGCAATTAATTTAAGTCTTCAGGATGTCTTTTTATGTGGGAATGCTAAAAACTGAAAAGCAGCATGTGTCGAGTTGTACACCACCACTGCCACACCCTGAAAAATTGCATTTGGTTATGTACAGCACCTGAATTTACCCAAAGACAAGGACTCTCAGCCCCCATCGTTTGACTGCCAACAGCGTTACCAGGCATGGAGACAGGACCAGACCAGCCTGTATACGAGTGCAGAATGAGGCATATACCCACATCCCTCACCACCCTCTCATTAAGCCCCCAGAACCGTAACCCCACGCAGGGGATGTTTCCACTTACCTCCTTCGCTCTACCAACTCAAGCACGTTCCTGTCTCCTCACACACTGAGGGTCCACTTAACAGCCTCCACGGCTGAGCCCAGCATTTTACGTGGGCAGTTACCGTTCCAAAATAACTGTCTGTGGAAGCAACAACCAGAGCCACAGAGGAAGCAGCAGCATGGACAGTTACTGTCAGTTGGTAACTCTTCATGCAGAAGCTTATCCCCCAGATCTATGCTGAGTACCTGCATATGGGCTGTTATCTGCAACCTGCAACTCTACAGGCTCTTACCCGAGCCCGTGGGAAAGCTACCCTAGGCAAGCCACTGCTGAAAGCCCAGCAGGACAAGAGGCATCTTCTGTTCTACAGTTGTATAGCACATAGCACAACATGATCTTGGACTAAACCTGAAGCTCTTAGGAGTTGAAAATACAAATTAACTTTCCCTCTCACAATATCACCAGAAGTAATAGAAACAGCCAGCTTTATGAGTCATCCACAAGACAGTCCATCTCAAGGTCTTGCTGCACAATGCAGCCTTTGAAGTTCATGTAATGAGATCAAGAAGCTTGCAGTGTAAAGCCCACAGCAACTGAAAGCTGAAAAGTCAGACCTATATAAAGGAACTGCTAATCAAGAGCAATAGAGCTCGAGCAGTCAGTGAAAAGGAAGGTAAAACTGATGCAAAAACACCTGTTAATTTCATACCCCCTCCTCTAAATCAGATACACACAAATTACTTATGAAACGTACTTTCAAAAACAGTAAATGATAAAATGAAAGCTACTGGGTTTTGAGCAACTTTTATGTTTCAGAAAAGAAAGAAGGTGAAGTTAAAAGGCAGAGGTGTTTTCACATGGAATAAACCTGAGGAAGACACTCTTTGTTGAGATGTTGTGCACATTACCAGCGATGAATTCTGCATGAACTTCCTGTTCCAAGGCTTTTTAAAACAACAAAAAACCCACAGACATACTGCAAAACTTTATGCAAGGAGTTAGAAGAGTACACTTAAGAAAACTTAAACCAATTATAGATTGTTTCCTGGGACACATTTGGGGAAAACAGACAACACAAATTAAGTGACAACTACAACACTAATGTCTGTGATTACTTGCAAGAGCTGTGCCCATAAAAAGATTACACATTTTAATCCATCCTCATTATCGACCAAATAGATGAAATGTTAATTTTCATTAAGGCTTTCAAGACTGATATAATATTTGAATAGAAGGTTATTAATTTATGTAACAACATGAAAAAGAGTTTGGTAAAATTTCTAGTTAGGATTAATTTTATTTGCTTTTGCAGTACTGAAACCCATAGAGATCAAACGAAAGGGCTGACATGTAAAAAAAAAAATGGTTAATTAGGTGGT